CTATAGACCTGGGTGTAGGGCTGGGTCAATCAAGGGGAAGGTTTGTGACTACATGGGACATATAGACCTGGGTGTAGGGCTGGGTAGATCAAGAGGGAAGGTGTGGGAGTATATGGGACTTATAGTCCTGGGTGTACGGCTTCGTCGATCAATGGGAAGGTGTTTGACAACATGGGACATATAGACCTGGGTGTAGGGCTTGGTCAATAAAGGGGAAGGTGTGTGAATACAAGGGACACATAGACCTGGGTGTAAGGCTGGGTCGATCTAGGGGAAGGTGTGGGATTTCACGTGACCAATAGACCTGGGTGTACGGCTGGGTCGATCATGGGGAAGGTGTGGAACTATATGGGAGAAACAGACCTGGGTGTAGGTCTGGGTCGATGGAAGAGACAGTGTGGGACTACATGGGACATAGACCTGGGTGTAGGGCTGGGTCGATGAAAAGAACGGTGGGGGACTACATGGTACATATACACCTGGGTGTAGGGCTGGGCAATCAAGGGGAGGGTGTGTGACTTCATGGGACCTATGGACCTGAGTGTAGGGCTGGGTCGATCAAATGGAAGGTGTGAGACTACATAGGACATATAGACCTGGGTGTAGGGCTGGGTCAATCAAGGGGAAGGTTTGAGACTACATTGGACATACAAAACCTGGTTATAGGGCTTCGTCTGTCAAGGGGGCGGTGTTTGACTACATGGGACATATAGACAATGGTCTAGGGCTGGGTCGATCAAGGGGAAGGTGTAAGACTTCGTAGGACATATAGACCTGGGTGTAGGGCTGGGTGAATCAAGGGGAAGGTGTGTGACTACATTGGACATACACACCTTATTATAGGGCTTCTTCTGTCAAGGGGATGGTGTGTGACTTCAAGGGACATATAGACGTGGTTGTAATGCTGGGTCTTCCTAGGGTAAGGTGTTTGACTACATGGGACATATAGACCTCGGTGTAGGGCTGGGTGAATAAAGGGGAAGGTGTTTGACTACATGGGACATATAGACCTGGGTGTAAGGCTGGGTCGATCAAGGGGAAGGAGTGGGACTTCACGGGACATATAGACCTGGGTGTAGGGCTTGGTCATTCAAGGGGAAGGTGTGAGGACTACATGGGACATATAGACCTGGGTGTAGGGCTGGGTCGATCAAGGGGATAGTGTAGGACTACTTGGGATATACAGACCTGGGTGTAGGGTTGGGTGGATGAAGGGGACATTGTGGGACATATAGACCATGGTCTAGGGTTTTGTCGATCAAGGGAAGGTGTAGGAGATCATCGGATATACAGATCTGGCTGTAGGGCTGGGTCGATCACGGGGAAGGTTTTGGACTACGTGGGACATATAAACCTGGGTGTAGGGCTGGGTAGATGAAAGGAACGGTGGGGGACTACATGGGACATAAACACCTGGGTGTAGGGTTGAGTCAATCAAGGGGACGGTGTGTGGCTACATGGGACATATAGACCTGGGTGCAGGGCTGAGTCGATCAAGGGGACGGTGTGTGACTACATGGGACATATAGACCTGGGTGTAGGGCTGGGTAGATCAAGGGGAAGGTGTGGGACTACATGGGACTTATAGGTCTAGGTGTAGGGCTGCGTCGATCAATGGGAAGGTGTTTGACTACAAGGGACATAAACACCTGGGTGTACGGCTGCGTCGATCAATGGGAAGGTGTTTGACTACATGGGACATATAGGCCTGGGTGTAGGGCTGGGTCGATCAAGGGGAAGGTGTGAGACTACATAGGACATATAGACCTGGGTGTAGGGTTGGGTGGATGAAGGGGACATTGTGGGACATATAGACCTGCGTGTAAGGCTGGGTCGATGAAAGGAACGGTGGGGGACTACATGGGACATATAGAACTGGTTGCACGGCTGGGTCGATCAAGGGGACGGTGTGGGACTACATGGGACATATAGACCTGGGTGTAGGGCTGGGTCAATCAAGGGGATGGTGTAGGACTACTTGGGATATATAGACCTGGGTGTAGGGTTGGGTGGATGAAGGGGACATTGTGGGACATATAGACCATGGTCTAGGGTTGGGTCGATCAAGGGAAGGTGTAGGAGATCATCGGATATACAGATCTGGCTGTAGGGCTGGGTCGATCACGGGGAAGGTTTTGGACTACGTGGGACATATAGACCTGAGTGTAGGGCTGGGTAGATGAAAGGAACGGTGTGTGGCTACATGGGACATATAGACCTGGGTGCAGGGCTGAGTCGATCTAGGGGACGGTGTGTGACTACATGGGACATCTAGACCTGGGTGTAGGGCTGGGTCGATCAAGGGGACGGTGTGTGACTACATGGGACATATAGACCTGGGTGTAGGGCTGGGTAGATCAAGGGGAAGGTGTGGGACTACATGGGACTTATAGGTCTGGGTGTACGGCTGCGTCGATCAATGGGAAGGTGTTTGACTACAAGGGACATAAACACCTGGGTGTACGGCTGCGTCGATCAAAGGGAAGGTGTTTAACTATATGGTACATTTAGACCTCGGTGTAGGGCTTGATCAATAAAGGGGAAGGTGTGAGACTACATAGAACATATAGACCTGGATGTAGGGCTGGGTCGATCAAGGGGAAAGTGAGAGACTACATAGGACATATAGACCTGGGTGTAGGGTTGGGTGGATGAAGGGGACATTGTGGGACATATAGACCTGCGTGTTAGGCTGGGTCAATGAAAGGAACGGTGGGGGACTACATGGGACATATAGAACTGGTTGCACGGCTGGGTCGATCAATGGGAAGGTGTTTGACTACAAGGGACATAAACACCTGGGTGTACGGCTGCGTCGATCAATGGGAAGGTGTTTGACTACATGGGACATATAGACCTGGGTGTAGGGCTGGGTCAATCAAGGGGAAGGTTTGTGACTACATGGGACATATAGACCTGGGTGTAGGGCTGGGTAGATCAAGGGGAAGGTGTGGGAGTACATGGGACTTATAGGCCTGGGTGTATGGCTTCGTCGATCAATGGGAAGGTGTTTGACTACATGGGACATATAGACCTGGGTGTAGGGCTTGGTCAATAAAGGGGAAGGTGTGTGAATACAAGGGACATATAGACCTGGGTGTAAGGCTGGGTCGATCAAGGGGAAGGTGTGGGATTTCACGTGACCAATAGACCTGGGTGTACGGCTGGGTCGATCATGGGGAAGGTGTGGAACTATATGGGAGAAACAGACCTGGGTGTAGGTCTGGGTCGATGGAAGAGACAGTGTGGGACTACATGGGACATAGACCTGGGTGTAGGGCTGGGTCGATGAAAGGAACGGTGGGGGACTACATGGGACATATACACCTGTGTGTAGGGCTGGGTCAATCAAGGGGACTGTGTGGGACTACATGGGACATATTGTCCTGGGTGTAGGGCTGGGTCATTCAAGGGGAAGGTGTTGGACTACATGGGGCATACAGATCTGGGTGTAGGGCTGAGTAGATCAAGGAAAAGTTTTGGGACGACAAGAGACATATATACCTAGGTGTTCGTTACAGGGCCAGTGTGGACGAAGAGGTGTATGTAATTTCATGGGTCATATAGACACACAGTGAAGTGTTGTTTGGAGTTGACGAAGGGAAAGGTGTGTGACCACATAGGGCATAGAGACATGATCCTATTGCGGAGTTGATCAAGGGACAGGTCTGGGTCTACATGGGCCATACTAGGTATAAGGGCTGTGTGAATGGTATATGTGGGACTACATGGAAATGAGGATCAGAGTGTAGGGGCTGTGTAGGTCAAAGGGTACTTGTGTGGATATAGAACGGACCTTGGTATATATATGGGTTTTGTGGATCTTGGTGTATTTCAGGTACTTCATGGAAATTGTAAACCAGACAAGAAGAAACTATAAAGAAATTTTCCTGATTTATTCATTGAAGCCAAAATGGAAAGATGTTTCACATGTCTTTGTTTCTGGGAGCTAATTGCGATATGTGATTCAAGCTATTCATGCTAAACATCTCAAATATACCAGTTAACTGAAAAGGTAAATAACAGTCACTATATACAATGTTTCTCAGACAAAAGTCTATCATTAGACACAAAGAAAAGATGACATCACACATCTATCCCGCAGCGGATCTTGCTACAACTCAGCCACGTCTAATGCAAACCAAGGCAAAAGGGCTATAGGGCAGACGACACAGACGAAAGGGCAGATTGTGCCAAGTGACAGTTGCAGAACATGTCAAACGGTTATTGATAACAACATCTAGCTCCTGCGGAAGTTTTTGTGTGCACAAATACTCAACAATTGCAAGGTCTTTTAGAACAAAATGAAACCCCCAGCTATACCCAGAGGATTGACATTACACTACTTCTTCAGCATGTAGGGTACTGCCTCTGAAAACCAATCTATCAACAGACATTTAAAAAAAATATACAAAAAAAGGACGTGGGTTAAAACATGGGTTACATGTTCTTCAGCAGGTAAGTGGAGCGGACGGTGAAAGGAAGTTGTTCGATCCCAAGACTCCATTACACCAAACGTTGTCACCCTGCCTGACGCTCGGCATTTACGGATTATGAAAAAGGACTGGTTGGAACTTCTGCTGGGTCTGTCAGTATACTGGGTCTAGTAGGGTATCCATGTTAAACTGTGACGAGCACCACAGAAACACTTAGTAAAACCTACACTGAAACACAAACGTACATGCACTTTGCTACTTGCAGCGATCTTGGGTCACTTGGCTATGACGTTAAACCCAATGTACAATTCACTCATAGGTTGGTGGGTGGGTGGTGTAGCTTTAGGGTTCGCTTGTCACGCCGAAGACGCAGGTTCGATTCCCCACATGGATACAATGTCTGAAGCCCATTTCTGGAGTCCCCCGCACTGGTATAGCTGGAATATTGCTAAAAAGCGGCGTAAACTAAACTCACTCACATTACTCACTCACTCATAAGCAGGTGTATATAAATCACTATAAAATAGTGATGACTGACATTACTGTTGTTGGAGATGACAAACGGGATCTATTTGCTCTTTTGTTGGTTGTTAACACCGCACTGATACATTTTCGAATTTTATGACGTCGAACTGTAAATAATTGAGCCTGGACCAGACAACCCAGTGATTAACACCACAAGCTTCCCAATTGGGATACGAAGACATGTGTCAACCATGTCAGCGAGCCTGACCACCTGATCTCGTTAGTTGCCTCTTACAACAAGGATGTCTAAAATTAAGCATTTCCTGTGGCCTCTAAAGTTGCTTCAGACGAAGAGATAATTTTATCCCAAAAATTGTGAAATGGAACGAATGAACCGACGAAACAGGTTTGTTGAAAAATGTGAAAGGTTAACACCAGAGAGAAGTCAGTCTGTAGTATCTTCCCAATCAGATTCCATTGGCCATAAAAAGTGACTCATGTATGATTGAATCACAGAAAATAAGTGATGCTAGATATTCTATATTCTATCGTTTGCAGTTCTTTCAAACGAGACTGACATTACCAAAGTGAAACAAAAAACCCCTTCATAGTTCGAAATACAGTTCGTATGATGCCAACTTTGCCTTCTTCAATCTTCTCTCGTATCTGTTTACGAATCTCCAATTCTTTCAGTTCTTCTTTCCTACGCTCAAATTCTTCCATCTGCATTTTCTGAAATTCTTTCATTTTCTCATACTCTCTTTTCATGTTTTCCGCTGCCTCCTTTTGAACTGCCTGTCGTTTCTTTTCTTCTTCCACATGTTTTTTTTCCTGTTCCTTCCGTTGATCTTCTCGATCTTTTTCCCTTTCTTTTCGTTCTTTTTCATTTTGTTTCTCCATTTCTTGCATCTTAAGACACTGGCTCTGTTACTGTTCTTCAAAGGCAGCAGTTTCTTGTTTAAGTTTCTCCTCGAGTTGCTTCTATCTCTTCACTTCGAGTTTTTCCTTCTTCTCAGCTTCTCGCAGATCAGCTTCACATTGCTCATACATCTCATTTGTGTAGCAATGACCACCATTTTCATCAACCATGTGTTTTACCATGTCTAGCAGATCTTTGGTAAATTTCTCCTTGTCTTCATCCGTTCCTCTGTTGTTGACAGAAATAAATCGACGACTTGTATCTAATAAAAACGTCTTCAGCTTCACTGGGCAACTGTTTATGTAGTTGTCAAGAGTTTTACCTTTCCTCTTCAAGTTATCTTTTCCAGTAAATACAACAATCACGAATCTTTTAGCTTCTTTTCCAAAGCATTGCAGGAACTTTTCCAGTGTAGTTTTGTCTTCATCAGTGAACCCGCCAACCTGCACGATGAAAAGAATGGCGTGTATTCCAGGGGATGACATCCCCACACATTTGATGACCTCTTTCTGGATTTCTTTATGTGATCTGCTTGTGTCACAAAAACCTGGGGCATCAATAAGTTGCAAATCGTACCCAAAGCGGTTAAAGCAATGCTGTTTACAGTTGGTCGTAACAGACTGTGCCGTTGAATATGATTTGAATACCTTTTCCTCCTTTCTGGCTCCAATTATTGTATTCCCTGTGGCACTTTTACCTACTCTAGTCTTTCCAAGTACCATTCGAATTTCCCTCACCAGAAAACGTGCACAATTTCCTGTGTGGGAGAATAATCATCGTCTCACACTCTTTTAAACAATTATATCACATTATACTGGCATTTTCCTTTTCACTAACTGCCATTACAAAGTGGTAAGATCAAATACTAGTATTTAAGTGTTTATTTTCAGCTTACTAATTATTGAGCGCATAAAGATGATCACAACCTAAAGACAACCTAGAACTATAAGATCTCTGACATGATCTCTGTGATGCTCCTACTTTATTGAGTTCTGACTACATGCTAGGCTAAAGGAACCACCCGAATCTCTCTGATCAATGAGCTCATTTTAAAATATCAACGAATACCAGAGAACAATTTGTCTCAAATGTGCAACAAAACAGATTCCGTACGGCCTTAAAGTCCGAACAGGAATAACATCACTAACAATCTAACAGGACACCAGGTGTTTATGAAGAAGGTAACAAAGGTCTGCTCTACGATTACCACCCATCACTATTTTATGTGTTTCGTTGTGTGTTGTACAACATTAAAAGAATGGTGGGCATATATCACAGGTTGACCCTGTTCCACACATGTACTGATGCAGCTTCAAAGCAGTTTTTCTCGTTTTACTTGAATGCATTTTCTGATGGTAAACAAATACCTTTGCCAGCCATTGCGAAGTGTTTTGCCCTTTGCAGTTTTCCCCAGTCTGTAATGAAAACATAATAGTATCAACACCATTGTGCACATTTCTGTCCAATGTAGACATTGTAGACATTGTAGACATTGTTGATCTGTTGAAAGCAGAACGGGTGTTCTTCAACTTTGTAAACGTATATTTATTCAACACACATCAAGCATTTCGTCTTTTTAGGTCTTTCTGCTTCTAGGAGTTTGTGTTTACAGGACGAAGCATACTGAATGGATTGTGAACCCTATATTGCATTGTACATTTTGTTTTCAATAATAGACGCCAAAACAGAGACATGCTAAGAGGCACGGCGGTACATGGCTGAACATATGTATTGTTGTCATTGTCAGCATTAATTCAGTTCACTCACTGCACATGTGTGGACACAAGGGGGCGTTCATGCCATCGTTTACAGGTTTATTTCAGAACGTCAATGCTGTTTAGAATGTCGTAAGCACTTGATTGTTTACCATCCATGCATGGTGTCCGTAATCGCCATGAAACTCGGCAGTAGGTAAGCCGTTAGAAGAGTAAGAACAATCTTAAACGAAGAGAATGTAGTATCAAGACAAAGGTGTATGCGTGTTTGGGTGGTCTGGTTGTATCTGTTCATCTAGGGTAGTATACTCAAATGCTCTCAGATGCGTTTGTACCTCACAAATGCAGAATCGGCAAGTGCTGAAACGGAAGGAGGCTAGTAGATGCCATGCTGTCTACGTAAAGCTCTCTACAATACTAGACCGCAAGGCGATCGTTCGAGACACTCGTAATCACACACTCTCCCGCCTATGTAAAGCTCTCTACAATACTAGACAGTTGGTGACATTCTACATAAAATGTATTCTGGAGGGATCCAGCCGTACACCCCAGTTTTGCTCACGGGATGCCGACCATTTGGCACATATTTTATGTTTTTATGCTGTGGGGTTTCAGGTACTTTCGTCTAAACGTCAACATACAGGCATGGGGCAAAGTCAGGCACTCCTAAAAGGGGTTGACGTTGTTCAGAGACAGGAACCTGTCTATGAATTTCGCACAACCCCGTCTTAAGATGGCCACGTCTTGCCGACAATACTTTAGAAGCTTGTCCTGCATGTTGAAATATTTCCGTTCGTTTTCCTATACCACTACAGGAAGCTGTCTGATTTGCGTCGACCTTATGAAACAAATGAGAGATTGTAAATCCCATTTACGATATCGGAACAACAACGAAGTGATATGTCAGACACAACCATACAACCCACAAATCCATGTCAGGTTCTGTAATCATCATCATACTAACATTTGTGTAGCGCCGGTATCCAGCTCAGCTGCTCAAAGGCGCTTTGTTTTTCTCTCGATCACTGGATGTGAATCTCAAAGGCATATCGTACTATCAATCTCAACTCCTGGGGATCATACAACTCTTGCAGCCACTAGGCGCACCGAGTTCATGTGCCTTTCCCATCCTTACGAGGTACCCATTCACAGCTGGGTGGACTGGAACACATAGTACAGTACTTTATCCAAGTTCACTGCACGTTGCTGTAGCCTCAACTAGGTGTTTGCATGTATTCATGTGGCCACCATCTGGTCATTTACAAACGGATTCGTGGGTTCTTTAAAGTGCACAGGGCTGTGAACTGTACACTAGAGGTTGTGACACGGAAAGAGTCTAAACACAAAGTTGACTCCAAGGATTTTACACCGGGTCACAGGTGGGCTCGATCCCGTCACTTCGAGCTCACTGGATCATTATCCTGGCGCCTTAGACAGCTCGCCCACCACGCACCCGTTCTGTCGGTCATTTCGCGATGTTACCCATTGGCAAAATTGTATGATAACCATTAGAATGACGACTACATGTCCCACGTCACCGAGATATCACGCGTCATTACACATTCGCAACACACGCACACGTGCACACGAGCGCCAAAATCGCGACCATCCCCCATCCCCCATCCCCAAAATCCCATATGACAGCCATTTTGTTTGTGACGTCATCAGGAGGGTCAGCACATTTTCGAGGTCGTGTCATATTGCGTCACCTCGGAAATATGCTGGCCCCATACCACTGTGACACACATACAATTTCAGTGTACATTGGGGAGATCTGGAAATAATCGAGTTTGGACCAGACAACCCAGAAACACTGACATCAACCAAATCCGTCCTATCCTATTAGTCGCCTTTAATGACTAACATCGTTTTTTGAAGACCAGTTATAACCCTAATGTTCACGAGTGACATGTTTAAGAATTGTTTTGTACATATACTTTGGAAATCCTTATCATTATATTCCATTATTCTTTCTCAATAATATACAGGGACATGATGTGCTAGTCAATATATCATGCAAATCAACGAGTGAAACTATGGTCTCTGACATAATGAGCTCATCACGTATTTCACAAAAGCATTTTTATTTTTAGCCTATCCAATGTGGTGCTAAAGGAAGAAAGTCGTCATTTTCGAAGTCAACGGCGATTGCTCGACGGTCACTGCACACAATAAGTAAAACGAGTCACGTTTTTATAACTTTATTTATTTTCTCTTTTGAACTCTTAAATTGTATTGCTCAATGTACCCATATATAATCGGGAATCGAACTCGAATTTTTCTTTTTGTCATAAAACCGAAGTCTTCCATCATAAACGGTCATTGCATAATGACATATACAAACACATGAACATAATCAGATATCCAACATACCAGGGTGTAACATAGTTAGATCAATGAAGTATCAGGGTGTACACGGTGTTGTATGTGGTGTCACATCCAACATATCATGTTTTATATAGCGCAACATGCAGCATACAGTTTTTGTATTTTAGGGTCAGATCAGACATAGCATATTGTATATGGGGTCACATCCAACAAATGTTGTATATTGCGCAACATCCATAATAAGTATCCGATTATATCGTATTGTACATAGCATATCATACGACCTGTCATGTTGTATATAACACCATATCCGACATATTATATTGTATATAGGGCCACATCTGATCTTTCCTGCTGTATATTGCATCACATCCAACATATCGTATTTATAACTTATCGTTGATTTCATTTCCATATGGCTTGAAAAGGCAATCTTAAACATATATGGTGAAAATTGTGTTCCGAACCAGTGAGAAAGTACATCAATGCATTTTTTGAACAACGGACAATAATGAAACGACCAGTCGGGGCACTTTTGCGGTATTAAAGTCGAGCAGGAATACGAGAGACGTAGCGGGTATCAGTTTTTTGTAAAATTAAAAGAAAATGAAAAGACCAATACCGTTACATGTTACATGAATAGAAATGTCTCTATGGTACCTTAAACTTGTTTTGAGTCTTGTATAATTTTTCCCTCCTATTTTATCAGTTCCATCGCAATGGATATGTATGAAAAACATAGTCAGGTGATAGGAAACATCGCATAGCGTGATTAACCATCTTGTGTAATAGTACATTAGCAGGAAAGGCGTCAGCAATACTCACCAGCAGTCTGCTCCCCTTGTCCTTGTCAAGTTTCCAGCTGTAATGCACCACTCTATGACGCCAATGCCCGGTTTTATACTGATGCAACTAATATACAATTAGTCACATGGCAAGACCGGGCGTGTCCATGTAATAATTTATGCGAATATGTAATATCTTGGCTATTGATCACATTTTGATTCCAATCAACTGGGGCGTATGAATACCCTCTGGGTATGGTACTGCAACTGCACAGATCGATGCAATGACGTAAATAACTGTATTGCCTGGGCAATACTCGATCACTGTCATAGAACATTAATACTGCTGTGTGCGGCTTTAGAAAAAAAATTCAAATCAAACCAGAAACCAAACTTTATTACCTAATTTTATTAATATAAACCACGCCTATGTGCAGTACATATTTCATAATCTTACCTCACACATAAATGTCGTTTTCTGATTAGCTCTTCTATTAGTTTCAATGTATCCCACTTACAAACGAGTCACATTGCTATGTACCCCGCTTGGAACTCATTTGGCACTTCATGGTAGTATTTTTTTTATCTCGAATAACATTGAATCACGTATGATGTACGGAAAGTACGGATGTTTTGCGAATGCGAATCGATGGAAGGGAGATAAATTTGTTTTTCTCGTCGTCACAAAAAGATTTGTACCCGTGCTTCAAACAATTCATAATTAACATTGAGGTGTTTGGTAAGAGAAATACGTTGTTCACTGGTCCCTCGGGGCCCATGCCTTGGTGTTCGGGCTTAGAGACCGTAAACAAGCATCGAGGGTACATCAACCCATGACCCCCTTGTGACTAGTGAACAACTTATATTGTAAGTTGTGAGGGAAAGTCTTACAGCTTCTGTCCAAACCACTTGGACACAACGATCTCATTCACTATTATTCGTGGAAATATCTTAAGCTATAGCTGCAGTCGCTATCTACATTAACAAGGTATTTGCGTGTCATTTTAACCAGAATGCATAGTTAATATGTTTTGAAAGACATTGTTTACGCATCTCTAGGTAAGCATAACATCCTACTATCGAAAAATACTTCACCACCAATAACATGAGTGCATCATTATCTGAAGATTGATTTTCTGAGAAGAAATATATACTGAACAGCAAAAGAAGTTTCGAAAAAATGAAATCTCATAAAGTACGCTTTCGTGTTTATGTCCTCTTTGCAAAAACATGACAAAAAGCTAGTTGCGTTTCTTTTGCTGTTCAGTATATTTGAAGCAAGCACTTGCTTCAGGCATGGGTCACATAGTCTTCTGTGGTCAAGTGGACAGAGCGCTCGCCCAAGGAGAGGAAGTTAGTGGTTCGGTCCCATGCCGCGTCACACAAAACGTTGTTATCCTCCATTGCGAACATGTGGCTGGTTGTATCAAGAGCTATATGTGGGATTATATAGGACTTTTACACCAGGTTGTTAGGCCTATGTGGCTTGAGGGGTATCAGTGGCAAAAGACATGATATGTAGACCCCAGATCCCGGGTTAGGTAGCAGCTGGGTTTGTCAAGAGCTACATTTGGAACTACATGGGATACTTAGACCTTATTGTTGGTCCTGGGAAGGTCAAGAGGTATTTCTTGAATTATAGGGTTGTTTTGTGTGGAGGGGCTGGCTGAATCAAGAGGTTTGTGTGGTACTATATTGGACTTTTACACCAGGCTGAAAGGGCTATGTGGATTTAAAAGTTTATGCGGGACTATATTCACCTGAGTGTGATTTGAAATTGCATGCATAGTGATTGTATGTGTTTTGAAGGTCTTTTTTATGTTTCCATATTATAAAAGGTTAAGATAACCTTGTACAGAATACTGCACGAGTGTGATCGAAAAATCAATAACGCTGTAAAGTGGATTCCGGAATGTGATTGAAGGTGTCGGACAACATGGGACGTATAGACCTGGGTGTAGGGCTGGGTCAATCAGGGGGAAGGTGTGAGACTACATGGGACATGTAGACGTGGGCGTAGGGCTGGGGAGATCAAGGGGAAGGTTTGGGACTATATAGGACATATAGACCTGGGTGTTGGGCGGGGTCGATCAAGGGGGAGGTGCGGTGCACCATGGGACATATAGACTTAGGTACAGGGTCAGTGTGCATGAAGAGGTACATGTGGAACTTCGTGGGACATATAGGCCCGAGTGAAGTGTTCTGTGGAGTTGACGAAGGGAAAGGTGTGTGACTACATAGGGCATATCGACATGTGCCTATTGCTGGGTTCATCAAGGGAAAGGTCTGCGTCTACATGGGACATATTACGTATAAGGGCTGTGTGGATAGATGGTATATGTGGGACTACATGGGATATGAAGGCCCGAGTGTAGTGACTGTGTGGATATAGAACGCACCTTGGTGGAGGGGTTTTGTGGATCTTGGTGTATTTCAGGTACTTCATGGAAATTGTAAGCTAGACAAGAAGAAAGTATAAACAAATTTTCCTGATTTATTCACTGAAGCAAAAATGGAAAGATGTTTCACATTTCTTTGTTTCTGGAGCTAATTGCGATATGTGATTCAAGCTATTCATGCTAACCATCTCAAATATACCAGTTAACTGAAAAGGTAAACAACGGTCACTATATATAATGTTTCTATGACAAAAGTCTAGCATGGGACACATAGAAAAGATTACATCACGCATCTATCCCGCAGCAGATCTTGCTACAACTGAGCTACGTCTAATGCAAACCAAGGCAAAAGGACTATAGGGCAGACCGCACAGACGAAAGGGTAACATTTGCCTTGGAACAGTTGCTGATCAAGTCAAACTGTTATTGATAACAACATCTGGCTCCACCAGACGTTTTTCGTATACACACCAAGCCACAAAGCTTGACTGGTTATTTCAAAACGCAATTCACATTAGCCAAATACAAAACAGTTGTAAGGTATTTTGAGACACTGAATCGCCCAGCTATACCCTGAGGATTGACATTACACTACTTCTCCAGCATAGTTGGTGCAACCTCTAGAAACCAATCTATCAACCGACATTTCTAAAAAATGTACTGACGTGTGGGTTGAAAAATGTACTTCTGTGGTGAAGGGCTGGAGTGCCAGATGAACGGAAGGTCTGTGGCTCGACCCCATTGCTGCATCATACAAAACGTTGTTCTCCTGCATGACGCTCGGCATTTACAAATTATGAAAGAAGACCTGTTGGAACTTTTACAGTATACGGTATACATGTTAAACTGTGGGTAACTCCACAAAAACAACATTACTTCGGAATAGTGCAGTCCAGTTATATGACGGCGGATTGTGACTGACATCATCTTCGCAATTCCATCTACACAATTGATATACGATGACATGTATCAACCGAGTCAGCGAGGCTGCTCACCCGATCCCATGAGTCGCCTTTTCAGCAAGCATTGGTTACTGAAGACCAATTCTAACCCGGATCATCAATGGTTTCATGTCTGTTGATGTAGACGTGAAATGTCTGGTCTAAACTGGATTATTTACATACCACAATCACCTGATAATATTAGCTATATTACACAAACAAACAAAACACATACAAATAAACAAGAACGGGTGTTCACGAGAACGGAGAGCAAACTCTGTCATATAATGGCTCCAGTCACAAACACTTGTGTGAGCAAGGCAAGACAGTTGTAACCATTGAAGATTGAGGAATATCTGGTACACGTCAAAATAGGATAATAGCAGCAGGCAACTATTTCAGTCATTGAATGGAAACGTTTCCCGAGTCTACCAAAAGTTGCTTCAGATGAAGAAATGAGACATTTTCTGTCTTTGAAGGTTTGTTTGATAAATTATCCTTTAAACCACGAAGTCCACCAATTCCATGCTCTTCCCAGGAAACCAGGGTCCTCTTGTTCAACCTTCTCTCGTATCTGTTTACGAGCCTCTTCAAGTCGCATTTCTACTTTCCTACGCTCAAATTCTTCTGTCATTCTCTCGACCTTTCTCAAGTTTTCCTCTATCTCTTTTTGCTCTGCCTGTCGTTTCTTTTCATCATCATCCTTTTGTCTCAGTTCTTCGGCTTTTTCCCTTGATTGTCGTTCTTTTTCAAGTTGTTTCTCCATTTCTTGCATTTTAATACGCTGGTTTTGTATCTGTTCTTCAAAGGCAGCAGTTTCTTGTTTAAGTTTCTCTTCGAGTTGCTTCTGCCTCTTCCCGTCAAGTTTTTCATTCTTCACAGCTTCTCGAAGATCAGCTTCACATCGCTCATACATCTCATTTGTGTAGCACTCGCCTCCATTTTCAACAACCATGTCATTTACCATGTCTATCAGGTCTTTGGCAAATTTCTCCTTCTCTTCAGGCGACCCTTTGTTGTTGACAGAAATAAAGCGATGACTTGAATCAATTAAAAACGTCTTCAGTTTTACTGGGCATTCGCCTATGTAGTTGTCAATAGTGTCATCCTCATCTTCCAAGTCATCTTTTCCAGTAAAAAACAACAATCACGAATCTTTTAGCTTCTTTTCCAAAGCATTGCAGAAACCTTTCCAGAGTATTTTTGTCTTCGTCAGTGAATCTTCCTATCCGTACGATGAAAAGAATAGCGTGTATTCCAGGAGATGACATCATTACACATTTCATGACCTCTTGCTTGATGTCGTCGTCTGATCTGCTTGTGTCACAAAAGCCTGGGACATCAACAAGTTGCAAGTCGTACCCAAAGCGGTTAAAGCCATGCTCTTTACATTTTGTTGTAACAGACTTTGCCCTAGCCTTTGATTCGAACACCTTTTCCTTCTTTCCGGCTCCACATATTGTATTCCCTGTGTCACTTTTACCTACTCCAGTCTTTCCAACAAGTACCATTCGAATTTCCCTGTCCAGAAAACATGTACGAGTTCCTGTGAATGAGAATAATCATCGTCTTACACACTATTTAAAACAATTACATCACATTATATTGACTCTTTACTTTTAACCAACTGCCATGTTGATTCACCTTACCAATCTTTCTGCGCATTAATTTGATCACAATCTAAAGCTTTATTGACATGATTCTAATGCTCCTGTTTACACAGGTCTGACTACATGCTTAGTTACTGACAAGGATTCACCAGAGTCCTAACTATGTCAACAATCAGCTCCATTTAAAACATCAACGAATACCAGAGAATAATTCGTCTCAAATGTGCACCAAGACAGATTCCGTACGGCCTTAAGTCCGAACAGGAATAACATCACTGAAAATCTAACATGATACCAGGTGTTTGCGACGAAGGTAACCATGGCTGCTCTGCGAGTGGCACTCATCACTATTTTCATAAAATGTAAGCATTTCTTTGTGTGTTGTACAACATTAAAAGAATGGCGGGCGTATATTACAGTTTGCCACAGTTCAAAGCGGTTTTCTCGTACACCTTGAATACATTTCTGAATATTGAATAAATACCTTTGCCAGCCATTGCGAAGTGCTTTGCCCTTTGCAGTCTTTTCCAGTCTGTAATGAAAAGAAAATAGTATCATCACCACTGTGCAGATTCCTGTCCAATGTTGAAATTGACGAGATTACTTTTCTTGTGTCTTCAGGTATCGAGACACATGATTCAGCATATTTTAAAACATTCCTTTACAGGACAACGGGACTATTTTAAAACGTCAGTGCTCGTTTAGCACGTCTTTTGCACCCGATTGTTTACTAATCTGGGTAAGCATGGTATCCATTATACCTACGAAACTCGGAACTCGAAAACCCGAAAAGAGCCGGTCTAGAATTGGTCCTGCTTGTCGTAGGAGATCAGGGGATCATGTGCTCAGTTTCGCTGACATGTTGATGCATGCCATAGTATCCCAACTGCGCAAATCGATGCACATTATGCCAATCGTTTGATTGTCTGTTCAAGCTGTTTACACTATAATTGTTGAATGAAGATAGAAAAGGTTGAATTATGTGCCATGATACCTGCAGACACAATTTTAAAGACATGAATGAATGCGCATGCATCGTTTAACATGTTGCTGAATCTTGTCCAGAATCAGCGCTTAAAGTATCAGAAATACTCACCCACTGTGTGCTCACTGCACCCCAGTCAGGTTCCAGCTGTAATGCAGCCCCTCACGACCGTGCCTGGTTTTATACTCATACATTTCAGGTGCAGTTAGTCACATGACCCAACCAGTTCAACCAACACACCACCGGGGTCAGGTGAGAGTCTTGTCAAATGTCTGTGCAGTCAAAGAGACACACCTGGGACAACACGTGACGTTCTACTGGTGGCAGGTAGAGAGAACGTTAACGGCTTTGTTTAAAGAAGAAAACGGCAGCCATATTGATTTATAGTCCCACTAGGCAAAGAGGGGGAGGAGGTGATCATTATTTTAGTATTGTGTCACATATAAAGGTGACAGTAGAGATATTCAATCTGTAAAACATACAGTGTTCTGCAAAGCGGCCAATGAGACATTCAAACACCATATACATATCAATGAAAAGTTCAGATAAACATATAAGAGATATTATATCTACAATATATATAGACGACATAGTAATATATGGGAACACAGGTTAATTAAGGAAGAACATCCAAATATTAACAATATTAATTCATATAATTCTGGCTGACCAATTTCATGTATCAATGCAAATACCCAAGTGGAAAGAGAACTGAAAGAACACGACTCGCAGAAAATGAACTGACCATCAAAGTCACCAGACTATCATACACATTTATGAACTGTTTAAGCGAATGGGTTACTGAAGATCAATTCTAACCCTGATTATCACAGGGGAATATCCCATTATGTGACACAATATGTCATTATGAACATTTGCAGGGAAGTAATATCAGCCATGATACTAGTAATGATACTAGTGATGTTACTGTTAATAGAATAGTCTTTTTGCCAAGTTAATTGAACTGTCTACAAATGAACTTAAGTGTCTTTTAACTCATCTATAAGTGTTCATGAATTGCTATATATTTAGAAATTGTCACTGTTTACATATAGTAACGCAATTCAGTTTCAGCGCATACAGTTGGTAGTGTAGAAAAAAGGCCTCGGAATAGCGTAACTGATGAAGAACGCTTATAGTAGTAGACACTGTCATGCTGTTATTATCTAACACGCAGTATATCCCAAACTGGCGGTTACTAGGATCCCTCGCATAATCAACTTTTATGTTAATGTTGTATTTTGACATAGCAAACGTTGCAGCTTTAGACTCTCGTAAGAACGCCACGCTACATATGCTGGAACATGCCATAATGCTTGCGATTGGTTAACACAGTGCATTGCACAGGTCTTCGTTTATCATATTTCAACTGATCCCTGGGTTCCCGAGGAATGGGTTTTACCCGCATGTGATCGACTGTGCACACTTTATAAACAGGTTGAAAGTAGACTAATCGTCAATAGAGTAGTTGTCTTTAGCGTGACGGTTTGAAGGTATTTTTAGTACCAAGGCTCTGCTTGTAGTTGTTTGTCTGGTACATTACCACAGGTGCAGCCTGACCACCCTGAGGTAACTGGCAAATGAAAGAACCTTATGTATCTGATCTGCAAAAATACTACAAAAGACGTTGATACAAACAGTCGTGTTCTGACATATACTCCCAGTCGTTGGTTGTTGTTTAACGCCGCACTCAGCAATATTCCAGCTATATGACGGTGGTATTTAAATTATCGAGTATGGAGCAGACAATCCAGTGATGAACAACATGAGCATCGATCTACGCAACTGGCATACGGTGATATGTAATCAACCAAATCGGCGAGTCTGACAACCCGATCCTTGTCACTCATGGTCCGTACATGCCACATGTTGTATGTGAAAGGCCGATCTATTACCAGTACTTTATAAACACTGACAGTGGATAAAGCAACATGGGTAAAATATATATCTCTTACCTTTCAGACTTTTAACATGTTGCTTCGACAACAGTACCTACACTGCTGTCGCTAGATGGGTACAATGTGTGAAGCAAATTTGTGGTGTCCCCGCCGTGATGTTGCTGGTGAGTGAGCTTTACACCCAGGGTCAGATGACCTGGTAAACATGAAAGTTAGCTTAAATATCAGAATTGTGTACCATATGACTCGCATAGGCAACAATACCATGATCAGTTTACTTACGGGATCACGGGTACAGATATACTCTAATCAAAAAGAAACGCAAATACGATATTGATCAATGAAATGTCAATTATTTTTCAAAATTAGTGTTTGATTGTTCGCCATTATAACGCTGGTTTGTGTACCTGGAACGAATGCACAACGCGAAATATAGCATCTTTGGTAACTTTAATGTTCGTTTATGGTTGAAAGTGTCAACTTGCACGGATATGTCATGGGAAAATGTGGTTCGCAATGTGCACGTGCAGTTCTGAGGAACCGTGAGCGGGACATTGCGGGTAAAAAGACCGCATTACCACTGCAGTTATCGCAAACCTATCGTAATCGTTTGTAAGAAGCTGGACTTCGAGACAGAAGACCCTATTTCGACCCTGTGCTGCGGCGACTATGTTGTCGTCGACGGGTCCAGTGGTACAATAACTTTCGCTTCTGGAATCTACACAACGTGTATGCTTTCTATGCCGGAAGAGTACATGTCATACGGTTTACCCGGAAGTGTGTCCACGAGGTTGACCGATATGGTGGTGGTAGTGTCACGATATGGGGAACCATATTCTACAATCTACTTGTGCGCCTTCGGGACAGTACAACAGTCAGAGACGTACAGAGACGCAATCTTAAGGAATCACATGGTTCCGATCACTGAGGGGAGGTGTTTCAGCAGGATAATGCCATACACACAACACATGCCACTGTTCAGCATCTTCAGAATGACAACCTTACAGTGCTTCCTTGGACTTTCAAATCGCCCAACCTGCACCCTTCGAGCACACGTTAGATCAGCTGTCGCAGGCACTGCAAGAGGAATGGGTCAGAATTCGAATTCAAAGACTTATTCAGTCTATTCCAAGACGGTGCAGATCAGTTTTTGGGGCACATGGTAGCCACAACAGATATTAAGAAAATGCATAACTGGGAACGGACGCCTTCACTTATTGAACTTTGTAAACTAGACGTGTTAACAGACATTTGTGTTTTATAAGTTGACATTTGGTCGCAGCTTATACAGAATTACATGTGTTTTCCGACTTTAAAGTTAGCAGATTAAATTCGTGAAAATACACCTTTGTGTTTCTCTTTGGGAGAGTTTATGTGTTTTGATATTACCTCAAATTGTATTTCCAGACAATATCCATGGGTCCCGTGTCAAAGAGCTGACGTAGTGCTTCGACTGTCGTAAGTCTATGTTACAGTGTAGGAGGTACGACAGTCGTAGCGCTATGATAGTTTTGTGAAACGGGGCCCTGGGTTTTGCGTCAGCCAGCAGATTGCATCATGCGTCAGTGATCAGGGTTTGACAGTTGGAGTGCTGTTTCCGGTCAAGTCGCCTCTTGCGATCAACATAAATTACTCTTGATTAATGTCCCCTCGTTTAAATGTATTACAACTGAAAAGGGGTGATGGGGCAGCCTAGTGGTTAAAGCGTTCGCTCGTCACGCCGAAGACCCGGCGTCGATTCCTCACATGAACACAATGTGTGCAGCCCATGTCTGGTGTTCCCCGCCGCGATATTGCTGGAATGTCGTCAAAAGCGGCGTAAAACCAAACTCACTCACTCACTGACTCAATCGTTACAAATGAAAATTACACAATGTCTTCTTTTGTAGTTGTACTGTGTAGTTATGTAACAGTTGATGCTGACATTAAGATGGTAAAATGTCGAGTCTTTTATGGCCTCATCTGCTGCTTCTATTGTATATAAATCGGGGCTCGCTGATCCATCTATTAATAATGCAGCGGTCCGATACATTATTATAGCAATATATTATTGCAGAGATGTATTATTGTAGCAGTGTAGTACTGCAGAGATGTATTATTGTAGCAGTGTGGTATTGCAGAAATGTATTATTGCAGCAATGTAGTACTGCAGAGATGCATTATTGTAGCAGTGTAGTATTGCAGAGATGTATTATTGTGGCACTGGGGTATTGCAGAGATACATATTGTAGCAGTGTAGTATTGCAGAGATACATTATTGTAGCAGTGTATTATTGCAGAGATATATTATTGTAGCACTGGAGTATTGCACAGATACATTATTGTAGCAGTGTATTATTGCAGAGATACATTATTGTAGCACTGGAGTATTGTAGAGATACATCATTGTAGCAGTGTATTATTTCAGAGATACATTATTAAAGTAGAAAAAAAAAGATTTAGAGTACAGTATACCTGAAATGTTTCATTTTAATGTATATTTTTCGTACATCACTTTACCACTGTGGTGTGACAGGTTAGCACTGTGCCTTATTCTACAACGATATTTGACATACTTTATTTGTACATCACTTTACCACTGTTATTGTCTGCCCAGTATAGGAGTGGTGTGACAGATTGGCACTGTGCCTTATTCTACAACGATATTTGACATACTTTATTTGTACATCACTTTACCACTGTTATTGTCAGCCCAGTATAGGAGTGGTGTGACAGGCTAGCACTGTGAGTTATTCTACAACGATATTTGACATACTTTATTTGTACATCATTTTACCACTTTTATTGTCTGCCCAGTATAGGAGTGGTGTGACAGGCTAGCACTGTGACTTATTCTACAACGATATTTGACATACTTTATTTGTACATCACTTTACCACTGTTATTGTCTGCCCAGTATAGGAGTGGTGTGACAGGCTAGCACTGTGCCTTATTCAACAACGATATTTGACATACTATATTTGTGCATCACTTTACCACTGTTATTGTCTGCCCAGTATAGGAGTGGTGTGACAGGTTAGCACTGTGAGTTATTCTACAACGATATTTGACATACTTTATTTGTACATCACTTTACCACTGTTATTGTCTGCCCAGTATAGGAGTGGTGTGACAGGCTAGCACTGTGACTTATTCTACAACGATATTTGACATACTATATTTGTACATCACTTTACCACTGTTATTGTCTGCCCAGTATAGGAGTGGTGTGACAGGTTAGCACTGTGACTTATTCTACAACGATATTTGACATACTTTATTTGTACATCACTTTACCACTGTTATTGTCTGCCCAGTATAGGAGTGGTGTGACAGGCTAGCACTGTGACTTATTCTACAACGATATTTGACATACTATATTTGT